TTTTAGCTGCTGCATATCAGCTTCCACATGGCTCTGGACAGATCAAGACCTTGAACCAATGGCAAGGAGACGGAGACATCTGGGGATCTCGTTCTGCTGCAGCCTTTGTCCGCCTTCACAGCCATGGAGATTTTGACATCTTCTTCCACCGGCTCTGCCATTGAGGACCCATGTCTAAGGACTGGGCAAGCTTTTAGTGGTGACCTGTACTTGCCAAGTCACAGCATGTGGCTTTTCAGGAGGGAAACCATTGCTATCTGCTGTCGTCACATCCTCGTGGTGCTGCCCCGGCTTGGTCTGCAACTGCTTATTCATCGGGGTTCCCCTGCTTATTTCACAGTGAACCTTCCCTGAAGGTCATTCCTCCTTCCACCACCCGTGGATGAGCTGGGTAGCGGTACAGCTCTGCCCCATGGGGTCCAAAGCGTGTTATACAAGGGACTGGAAGAGTTCACCTGGAATCCTATGCATTGTTTTGGTGAGCAGGGTTCAGGATAGATGCATTTATCCTGGAACAGATGCAGACAAAAGGATGACGGGGGGGAATGGAGGAAGGCTTATTTACTCGGCCTTTGCACCAAGCCTGGGACTGCAGCCTAGATGCACCCTCTGCTCATTCGTTCCTGCTCAGGGCAGGGCAAAGCCCACACTGGGCATGTCTACACGTGCATTTACACTGGCTTAAATTTACTGCACAGTAAATTCCCTGCCGGTGTCTACACATGCAGGCATTAAGACGCATTAACGCTGTGTGTGAACTGACTTGGGACTAAAGTCCCAGCCTCCTGGCTTCATTCTAGGCCACGCTTCTCCCTAGTGCAATTTCCTTCTGTGGTTTCCCTTGATGCGGCTCTTCGTTCCCTGCCCAACGCTGCTCTTTGCTATTAAACAGCTGCTGTACCTCAGCCAGATTGAATAAAATAATAATAATAGTCATTAAAATCTTCTGTGTGGGTCCCCTCTTTGCAATCATTTCAAACTATGTATTTAATGAATTGCTATTCAAATCCAAGTGCAGCTCCCTCTGGGGTGTAGCCCTGCTGTAGGTAAGCGTGCAGCACAACAGTGCGCAGCAGCATAGGGCAGGAGCGAAAGGGGTTGGTGTATAAATAAACCTCCTAGCATCACTCAGTGAGGAATCGTAGCCCCATTTTTGAGATGGAGGTGGTGATGAAATGTTGACTGAGAAGCCACAGAAGACAGGCCTGACGTGGGGTTTTGCAACCAGCTTTAGTTTGGGATTCTTGTCCCTGAAAGCTTTGCTCACATTCATGAACCATCCATGCGAGGCCAATGCAGCTTTGCATTGGGATCAGGGAGCAATCCTGATGCCCATCCCTGGGCCTAAAGTGGCTCTGATGGAGTTCTGCTTTGAGAGCCCGGAGCTGCTCGAACCAGGAGAGCAAAGTGAAATTCAGTGCACGTGAGGGAGAGAGACACGGAGGCACGGATGTAAACCTGCGCTACTCTGATTTGTCTTGCAGCAGCACGAAGGCCCTCAAACCAAGATAAATCACCTCGTCCAGTCTATGGGTGGAAGCATCATACCAGAGTGAAGGATTATTTAATTCCTTATGCTGGGCTCATCCCTGTGCACCACCCAGAATTGCATTCAGTGACATGACTAGCATCTCAGAAGGAAGGGTAGCATTGCACCTTATCGACTAACTAAATCAGAGATACATAGCATCCGCTTTCATAAGCAGCTGGCTTGCTTCAGCCCATGCTGTCAAGCAAGTTGATGCCTGTGAAAGCTGATACTATCTTTGATTTAGTTGGTCTATAAGGTGCAAACCTATCCTAACTTCATGGCTCGCTACCTCTCTACATTCAGTATCTGCCATGGGTTGCTTTTCCTCTTCAGTATGGTGAGAAGCTTGTGCAGTGGGGTGCCGTGCTTCAGTAGGGAGATTTTCAGTACCTGCATTGCTCAGTACTTTTATCTTAGAAAAAGGAGGTCAAAGAAATATGCCTGGTACTTTGGGGGACCCCAGCTCAGCCCCCAAGCTGCATGGCTGTGACAGTGCAGACTAATTTATCCCACTTCTCATGGTTAATTGCTTTCCCAGCAGGGTAAATTAGCCGAATACAGCCGCTGGTGGGATCGCTGCATGCTAGTGGGTGTCTCTGCCCCACGCTGCATTTTGCCATGTGGAAGGTGGGGAGCCGTGGGCTTCTCTTCTTTCCTCCTAGGGGAGCTCAATCCAAAGCCTCCGAGGAGCGCTGCCTCTGACACTAGTGAATGTGACACTCCTTGCACACTGTCCTGTTGTGCCGGGAGCAGATTTGTCACTCATAGCTGCGGTATCTCGGGGTGTCCACACTGCACAATGAGAGGATGGGGCAGCCAGCTCCGTGCACTCGCAAAGATGAGACGAGGCGCTGAGCAGAGGCACACTTTGCTCCTGAGCATACACTGGAAAATCAGGTCTCCAGCCCAGCACCAAGAGTGTGCCCGGGACAGCTTCCTCCCTGCTTCTCTTCCCAGAGTTAATGCATCTGGAGTGGGGATGAGTGGGCAGGACAAATTGTCTTGGCAGCAGGATGCAATGCAGACATAACCTTGGAGACCTTGCTCCAAGCTGTGGATCACCATGGAGATGAAGACAGAGACTTGAACTTGATCCAGTGCACAGTGGGAAGCCTTGGTAGTGGGGAGGACAGCTCCCATGTTCTTGCCCTAGGGCTGAGATGTGCCAAAGTGTCCTGGGATAACTGCAGTTTCCTCAGCACTGAGCCTCGAGTCCAGATCGACTGCGTTGCTAGAGGCCAGCCCAGAAGGAACAACGCCAGGGCATCCTCTGCCAGGATCCTCTTTGGCAGCCGGAGACGATAAAGAGCATCACCTACAGCCCCTGCTTCCTTGCTTACAGCAAGAACATAAGAGAAGTCCCAAAATATGAGCTGCTTGTATCTGCAACCCCCTCAGGACCCTGCCACAGCCTGGGTGTCCCAGGTCCACCTCGCTCTGGCTCCATGCCTGGGTGACCCCTGGACCATTGTGATGGATGGTGAGGATATAGGCTGGAAGGGTTTGTAGGGCTGTGTCAGCTGCATGTGGCTGACACTTGAGTGCATGGTACCTCATCTCGTGGTGTCACGTGGAGGTCCAAAAGAGCTTGTTCCTAGGAAAAATAAGAAGTCAGGGGGTGATACTAGCACCCATTGAGCACAATGCTTCTAAAAAGGACTTTAACTGCTTTCATGCGTGACCCTGGCTGCCAGCCACCTCTCCTAGGCAAGCAAACATTGCATTGTGCCAGCCCAATGCTTCTCAACCAGGGTACCACAGCCCGCTGGGGTGCCTTGACATCCACCCCTTTCTGCGGGGTGCCACGCCGTGTTAGTACATCTAGGTGTGCAAACAGGATTCACAAAAGAAACCCATAGATTTCACCTAGGAATGCAAAGCTGGGTCTTTCTGAATTTTTTTGCAACAGAAAAAAACGCTCTGTTATTTTTCTGTAGGTGAAAAAAAAAAGTGAAAATGAAGAGCTGGCATTTTCTAAGTGGGGTCTCGAGTCTATCCAGGGATGCCTGCATAGGATGGGAACCCCTGTGCTAGGCATAGCACCAGCACAGTGCAAATGCCCCTGTTTAAGGGAATGTAGCGTCTCAGCAAGTGAAGGGAGGAAGCAATATGAGTGGATCCATAACCCGTGCCCTTTGCTTCTTTCGTACCGGCCCCAGGCCGAGGATGCAGGCTGCACGAGGAAGAAAGGAGACATGGTGCTCTGCCTGGTATTTGTGTGCATTTATTTTCCCAGATGAGAGCGCTCCCTTGAAGGCCTGTGCCGTGGAAGCAGTGCTCAGAGCAGCTCAGCCTTCAGACACGCTTCCTGCTTGGCATGGCGGGCAGGAAACTTTCAGCTGGCAAAATAAATTTGGACGGTAGAGGGAGCCAGGATCCCCTACTATCCGAAACCAGGCGGGAAAAGAGCCTTGCCTATATGCCTGTGGGCCACTTGTGAGCCTTCAGAGTAGGCAAAGGAGACGTCTGACCCCCCACAGCCATCTCCTGCAGTCTGGGTAAGGTGTAGTTTGCAGAAGTACCCCAGATGTAGGCTGATCCATGGGGTCCCTTTAGGACCTGACTCTCCCTGCTTCCTTCCTAGGGGACACCCAGCTCCCAAAATGCAGTGAATGCGGGGCATGGTCCAGGCAGATGTGCCCCTTCCCCTCCCAGCCTGGGGCAGTTCTGCCCTATGGGGGATAGGGGCTCTTTTGCTGTTGTGAGCATTGACCCGTGTTCAGTGCTAGGGGCCCTGAGGCTGGTGTGCGGAGGCAGCTGGGTCCGTCCCGTCGTTGCAGGCCAGTACGAGGGCCCGTCCCTTTTCCACCTGTGGCCCAGGTGTGCAAGGCCTGGCCTGCATCGCGTTTGCTCTATTTGCTGCTGCTGATCTTGCAGCACAGCAGATGCATGGCAGGAGCCACAACTAAAACTCTCCCAGGTCTTGGTTGTCAGACTGCCCTTGGGCTCCTGCTCCGGGGGAAGGCTGCCCAGGACCCCAGCTCCCGCCCTGCCCCTCTTTGGGTCCCCCCTGCTGCTCACCGCAGCCCCTTGCGGTCTCTCCGCCTTTGCCCTCCGCGCTGCCCCGACTACCTGAGAGGCTGAGGCCAGGGAAGTGGCCCAGCTCTGCCTTTACAGCTGTTCCAGGGGTGGGTATGAGACCGAGGGAGGACAACCCCCTGCACCCCTCCCAGAGGCACAACTGGAAGAAGGCAGGACCCCCCCACGGCTGCAACATCTGGAAGGGAAGCACCCCCCCCCCCCCCCTCCTCTTACTGCCTGGCACATCTGGAAGAGCCAACTGGAAGAGCAGGGCACCACCCCACCCGCTGGAACACATCTGCACGGGCACATCTGGAGAGGGGAGGGAAATCCTCCTGCTTTGCATAACGAGGCGTCACTGGGGGGTGAGCCAATCAGGGGCGAGGGGGCGGGGACAAGGAGCCTCCGGAAAAGAAAGTGCAGCGGCAACAAAGTAGCAGACGGGGCTCGGGCCGTGGCTGCAGGTGAGTGCCCCGGGCCGGGGCCGGGGCCATGGGGGGGCTCTCCCGGGACTCTGCTGACCGCCTCCACCCCCCACGGGGGGCCGGGGAAATCCCCCCCGCCCTGCCTCAGTTTCCCCGTCCAGGCTGAGGGCTGCCGGGGGGGCAATGGGCGCTGCCCCTGGGTCAGGAGCGGCCCCGCTTGGAAGAGAAGGGCCCTGGCTCGCATCGCCGGGGGCCACATCTGGTGGCATCCACTGGTTGCCGTGCAACAGCAGCCCCAGATGAGCCGGGGCGCCCCTGCCGGAGCTGCCTTTGCTAGGGGCACCGCGCTGGATGCTGATGCCCTGGTCCTGCACGCCTGCGTGCTCAGGGACCTTGCCCATCCTTCTCCTCTGCAGCCCGGGCACACGCAGGGAGCTGGACCGTGTGCCCAGGGCCCCTGCCCATCCTTCTCCCCCGTGCCCCGGGCACAGGCAGGGGAGCTGGACTGTCTGCTTCTAGCCAGACACTTTACCCTCCATGTTTCAAGTCCCGGAGCCTGGCATGCTTGCCCTCTTCTGCTGCCTGCCTGGTATTTTAAATGGGGAGGGAGACAAATACCTCTGGCAGCTGGAAAGGAGAAGGGGGCATCCCCTCCCTGCATGCTCTGTGTTACCTGCTCTGTGTTACCGAAGACAGCCGGGCACGGACATTTCGCCCACGCGCAAGCAGTGCTAGATAGACCAGGCTCGCTTTGTGGGTGGCAGGGGAGAGCAGCTGGGAGGCCGCCAGGCTCCCACCTCCAGCGGGGCTCCAGGTCCGTGACCCGTGTTAATTTGTTTTATAGATCAGTGGGTTAATAACTGCTGCAGAGCACAGTCCCTCGCAAGATGCCCAGGGGGTGGTGGGGCTTTCTCTAGGTCTGTGGTCATGTAGGTCCTAAATTCACCCGCGCAGGTGTGCCCATTGCGTGTACGTACACACGTCCTCACGCACGCACGCACGCGCTCCCCTACAGCCTTTCTGCTTATGGTCCAGCTAGTTGGGATGCACTTGCCAAACCTCGCTTGGCATTTGTTCGAACATCCTGTGCTGGGCCAAGGAGTGGGTTGTGTCTCTAATTTATTTTCATTATCCCAGCAAGCGCCCTCTCTCTTGCTCCCTTTTTACCTCTGGATTTACGAGGCCCCATCCTTGTCGGTGGAGAGTTGCATGCTCTCACCAGCTTGCTTCTGTCTCTGCTGCCTTTCCCCACTCCCAGCCTGGTGGGACGAGGAGCCCCGCACGCCGACGGCTTTCAGGATGTTATTTATTCAGCGTAGTGCAGAGGGCACGCGCCTGGTCGCAGAGAGAGCCATTTATAACCGGCTGCCTCGGAGGACGTGCGTGTTGCATTGTTGTGCGCCTGGCAGGGAGCACCAGTATTGTGTGAGCGTGGCGGGAGCTGGGAGTAGCAGCCCCGGGCATCACCCCATCCAGGCAGCTCGGTCGTAGAGCACCAGTGAAGGACTTCAGGTGCCCTGCTTCCCTGCTGTGCTTGGGACAGGGGTGAGCAAGGAGAGATGGAGCCGTACACGTGTTAAACACCCAGGGCTGGTGGGAATGCCCGTGGAGGGATGTGCCCGGCTCTGGGGTCACGTTCTCCAGGGAGCATCTCCTCTGACGGTGTCAGGCCCTCATGTCTCCCAAGCCAGTGGTTTTTGTGCTGGTCTGAAGGGAGCAGTGGTGGTGACGGGGCAGAGGAAGGGGAACAGAGGACCCAGGACCGGGAGTTCCTGGCTGAGCCGTGGAGAGATGTAGTGCACTTTTGGTGGAAGCAGGGGAGCAACATGCAAGCAAGGGGCTTGTTGGAGAAGGGTTTGCACTGGAGGACCAGGCTGTGCCAGGGGGGTGAGGCACTTGCAGATAAAGGCAGGACTATGCAGTGAGACCTTGTAGTGCAGGGGCTTAATGGAGGGAGCAGACCTAAGCAGAGCCT